TTTTTTTTTTTGCTTTAAATTTGTTTCAAAATGAGCTTCTGTGTTAGATTGTTAAGTATAGACCATGAAAACTTTTGTAAGATTACGGAATCTCTTTTTCGCCCCCTAATGTAATGTTTCTCATATAATAAGTCCTGTGTTTTGCTGTGGCAACAATTTTTTTGTTAGAAAATATAAACAAATTTGTACTTCGCAAACGTAGCGTGGGTGGAACACCCTCCAGTAATCTATACTCTCCTCGCCGCGTTCTATAGTTCTACGTTAGCGGAGATGATATTCTGTCCGTTAGCCTTTCTTTCGACAAGGTAGATATTGTAATAAGCGATCGTGACAACCGACCTTACCCCCATACTAGCTACTAATCTAATTTCATACTTTCCCTTTATGTTTTGTTAAAATTTCCATTAACATTGTTTGTATAATAATATTCCTAATTACAGCCAACTCACAGCGAAATTCAGAGGCAGTATCTAGTTTCAAATTGATTTTTTCGTTTCTAAAGTATCAGTTTGATATTATTTGGAATTCACTAAGCAACACTGAATCACTTATTTCACAAAAAAGTAACAAATTTAAGTTCTGCCGTTTAGCAGATCATAAAAATCAGAACAAATTATTTTTGCTCTGTTTGCATAATTTCCGTATGAAGTAAAAAAAAATTGAAGAGGAACTCGTTGCTTTTTTAATCATATTACAAGAAATCGATCGCGAAGAAAGGTAGTATTTGTTTAAATGAAAAAGAATCAGTTTCCCAAGGTCCGACGTCTCCTCCGATCCCCATTGAAGGAATTCAAAAGGAATTCTGGTCCCCGAATAACCCCGAGGCGAAGCATTCGCCTTCGAGACGGATCTATTTAAGGAAGTAGAAATCGCATTTTTCAGGAAAAACTCATAATTTTTTTTTTCAAATATTTATTTTACAAATTATTTATTTACTAAGGAACAAGAGAATAAATCAAACCTGTGCCAAGTCGCTCTTATGCCCTATTTTCATCCGACCGCATCGGAGCACCAGGAGGACGAAGTGGTGCAGGATTTTCACAGTTGGGCAGCAGGAAAGACAGGATAAGTGGTAATATTAATATTTTTGAGCAGCAACCGTGAATTGTTAAAAATTTTCGGTTGCGAAGTTAACTAAAATATATGTGCTGAACGGCAGCACACAACACAGAGTACCGAAGAGGCGCAGCAATCCGGAGGCATCGGAGCACCAGAATGACTGGCTGGGGCAACCCCATCACCAAGAGATATCCCAAGGCTTAAGCTAACACTAGGGAGTTTTTTTTTTTAGCAACCGTAAATTGTTGAAAAATTTCGGATGCAAAGTAATATATTTTAATACGGCATTTGACATATGCGCTGGAAGGCAGTGCACTCGTAAAAATTAGGGAAAAGTCCATGGAGCGAAAGCCACAATAAATAAATAATTTCTTAGTTATGCACGGTAGCGCGAACAATACGGCAACCCAAATCAATAGAATCACCTGATGCTTACAAGCAGCGGTGAAACGAATAAGAAGGCAAAAGATAATATCGAGTACATAAGAAAATAACAAGAACTTGTTTACGCATTCGATGTGCATAAAAGGCCGGTACAAATTTAGTTTAGTCCTCTTTTCATTTTGGACATCCGACAGCTTATAATAAAGTTTATTAATTATTTACTAAAACCACGTCTTTAGTTTAATTTAATTCAATCGTTTGCACTTAATCACCACATTGGTGACCCCGACGTGATCGCGTGAATAGTTTTCATCAGTAATTGCGTTAACTATTCGTCGAAATTTCGAGTGCATTTTTTTTATTATAGTGCACTTTGTGAGCTGGTTTGGTGCATCAAGCGTGCACGTGGAACTGTCGAAGGAGCTGATGCCAAGTAATTTTGCTGCATATCCGAGGACTTAGTGTGGCCTTTCATTGCATCAAATCATTATGCAAGATAGTGCAGAAGCACAAGTGCCTGATAGCGCAATGCCGCTTCAACGTGTTTCGATACGGTGTCCTGCTTTCAATGCCGAACGTCCTGCTTTATGGTTTGCCCAACTTGAAGGGCAGTTTCATCTCGCCGGCATCGTTGACGAAATAACAAAATATCATTACGCCTCATCACATCTCGATGCTAAGGCCGCAGCTGAGGTAGAAGATCTGCTACTGAACGTTCCGACTGCGATGCCTTATTCCCGCCTGAAGGAGGCACTCGTTGAACGCCTGACGCTCTCCCGAGATGCACGACTGCAGCAACTTCTCGATCGAGAAACTTTGGGGGACAGCAAACCCTCACAGTTCCTTCGCCATCTCAGGAGTCTCGACAATACTGTCCCTGATAACATTCTCCGCACCAAGTGACTAAGCAGGTTACCGATGACGACGCAATCTATACTGGCATCTCAAACCGACATGACTCTGGATAAGCTCGCATCACTGGCCGACAAAATTCACGAAATCGCATTGCCGGAAGCACACATCAATACCGTCCAGGAGACTACTACATCAACCATCGAGGCACGTTACTCTCGCCTTAAAGCTTCGATCAGCGATTTAAGTTCAGCGCTTAATGAGAAATCTGCCACCCGCTTACGGCCTCGCTCTAGATCTCGCCCGCTTTCTCGAGCAATCTCGCCAGCAACCGCTAACACTATGTGCTGGTATCACCAAAATTTCGCAAACAGAGCCAAACGTTGCATATCACCTTGCTCGTTCCAGGGAAACGCCCCGTCGGACCGTTAGCGGCGGTTAACGGCTCCTCATTCGAATCAAGCCGCCTCTTCGTAATTGACCGTGCCAGAAAAATCCAATATCTGGTGAACACTGGCGCTGACCTCTGCACATTTCCCAAGTCTTTCGCACCTGGAACATCACAAAGGATAAATTATACTCTTATTGCAGCAAATGGCTCGACAATAAATACATATGGCTGCGTAACACTATCACTTAACATCGGTCTCAGAAGAAACTTCACATGGCGCTTCGTAGTAGCGGATACAACCAAACCTATTATCGGTGCTGACTTCCTGGCATATTTTGGAATTTTACCTTATTTGAAGAATGGCTGCCTAATCGGCTCTTTAACCGGACTAACGACATCATGTAAAGTATCTTTAACTAATATTGTTTCAGAAATTAAGGTCAAGGCTCTCGACCCTTCATTGTCGGATCTCATCGCGAACTTGAACGAAACCTGAAGGAATATGTCTGCCGGCCAAACACACGACGCAACATCACATAGCCACTACACCTGGACCCCCGGTATCCAGCAAAGCTCGTCGTCTCACTCCCGACAAACTCAAAATCGCCAAGGCGGACCTCGACAAAATGATGCTACTGGGAATTACTCAACGTTCGAAGAGCCCCTGGTCATCTCCTCTCCACCTGGTACCCAAATAGTCGGGCGAATGGTGACCTTGTGGAGATTATCGGCAGCTTAACGCACGAACGATACCGGACCGATCCAATCTGGCTGGCAAAAGAATCTTTTCGACAGTCAACCCTTTACGCGCCTTCTTACACCATTCGGCCTCTTTGATTTTCCATTCATGACGTTCGGCCTACGGAATGCCGCACAAACATTCCAACGATTTATTGATGGGGTGACACGGGGCCTAGACGATTTCGCGTTCCCATACATCGACGACATCCTCATCGCTTCCAAAGACATCGGGGAACACCGCAAACTTCCTCGCATGCTTTTTGAACGGCTCGCTAAGTATGGCGTCGTAATCAATACGGCCAAGTGCTGTTTGGGTCAGCCAAAAGTTGACTTCCTCGGACATCGCATCACTGATGAAGGTATTTTACCACTTCCAACGATCCGTAAACTGCGTGAGTTCCTCGGAATGATTATTTTTTATAGAAAATTTCTTAAAAACGCTGAAGTTTCAGGCTCCTCTACACCAATACATACAGGGCGTTTCAGTTAAACGTTCACAACCAGTCGCTTGGACAACGGAAGGCGATGCTGCTTTCGTTGCCTGTAAAGCGGAATTGAAAAAAGCAACCTTGCTGGTCTATCCGGATACATCGCTTCCATGGGCTATCTTCACCGATGCCTCAGAGTATGCCTTTGAATCTGTTCTCCAACAACGAAGAGGACAAAGCTGGGAGCCGCTGGCCTTCTTCAGCCAGAAACTTCAACCCGCACTAAGAAAACATTGTTCTTACGATCGTGAGCTACATGCAATATATGTTGCTTTGCGGAAATTTCGTTACATCTTCGAGGCACGTCACATTACGATCTTCACAGACCATAAGCCGTTGCTGCACCCTTTCGCACAGGACGATCGAGCCACACCTTGGCAATTTCACCGACTGAATTTTATCGGCCAATTCTCAACCGATATCCAGCACGTATCCGGCAAAGATAACGTCGTCGCAGACGCTCTTTCGCGCATAGAAGAAATCTCAGCCGCAATCTCTGTGAATGAGCTTGCCGATGCCCAAGCTGTCGATGAGGAGCTTCAACAACGTTTACAGGACGAGCAACAGGACTCCCTCCTCCTGCGACCGGTAAATATTCCAGAATGCGATAAGCCAATCTATTGCGATATAACCGGCAATTTGATTCGACCTTTTGTACACGCTTCGCTGAGAAATAGAATTTTCGACGCTCTCCATAGTGTCAGCCATCCCGGAGCACGAGCATCCCTCAAGCTGGTGACACAATGCTACGTCTGGCTTTGAACATATCCACGTGGAAATCATCGGACTATACGCCCCATCTAAAGGATATCGTAACTGCCTTACGATCGTTGACTGTTTCACTAAATTTCCAGAGGCTTTTCCTATAGAAAACATTGGAGCCGAACATGTCGCCCTTACTCTTTTTGCTGGATGGATATGCCGCTATGGAGTGCCGCTCCAAATCACGACCGACCAGGGAACACAGCTCGAGAGTCAACTCTTTAACGCTCTCACTCGCCGCCTCGACATATACACACCACTGCATTTCATCCACAGTCGAATGGAATGGTGGAACGCCTACATCGCCACCTTAAGGAAGCAATTCGCTGTCATGAAAACAACTCGTGGGTGGATATGCTACCTATTGTACTTCTCGGAATTCGCGCTGCTTGGAAGGAAGACCTTGGTGCTACTCCTGCTGATCTCGTTTATGGAGAGCCGATTCGTCTTCCGAGAGAATTCCTCGCTCCTTCACCACGACGAGGGTTACCACCGCCCAATATAGCAGAACGTCTTAAAAGCCATTTTGCCGACCTCGCTCCCCAACCCGTTGCCCGACATGGTCAGAGGAAAACCTTCATTTTTAAAGAGTTAGCCAGCTGCTCACACGTTTTCGTTCGCTGTGACACCCCGCATCATGTCTTTACTTCGCCATATGAGGGACCCTACCGAGTTATATCAAGACATGAAAATACCTCGGCAAAGTAAAGTGAATAAGGGCCGGCTGTAAAGTCATAATTTGACGCGCGTGCAATTAAGCAACAACCACCACCAAAGGCTCATCGTTTGCGGCAAGGTCAACAAAACTCAACGTTTGGGGCAAGGCCAACAAAGGCGCAACACAAACAACAATGCCTACAGAGGCCCAACGTGTTGCAGCTAGGCCAACACAAGCTCGAAATTTTCGCAGCAAGGCCACCAGCAAAGGCCAACGCTGTGCAACAATACCTTCAGATACTGCTCTCCAAGCAGTGAACTCCAACTAAGGTGAGTCTTCAGTTTTCTATTTGTTTACCGACAAATTTTTGAATTTCCCGGGCGAATTAAATTATATATTTCGGTTTGGTTTTTACATACGGTGTCGAATTGGTACAGCGGAAGTACCAAGCTCACACGTATCTACTAAAAATACGTATTGAAATTGAAGCAATTTGATATTGCACAATAACGCGCTCTTGTTCTCTTCATGTTTTTCACCCTCTGATTCACGCGTTATATGAAAAGCAAATATATTTCTTCAAAGCGCGACAAGGCCTTATCCAACGGCCCAACGATTACAGCAAGGCTCGCACAAAAGGCCCAACGCTTGAAGTAGTTGGTTATTGTATCCTTCAGAAATCAAGTAAGCGAATACAACGGTGAGACTTCATCTTTTTTGGTTTTTATTTGTTTTGAATGTTTTGTACTCAATTTTCAATTTAATTTCATTTAAATTTTTTTCATTGAACTGTTGCTTTGTTTAAATCTGTGGAAATACCTAGGATTTGCAGATATTANGTTTGGTTTTTACATACGGTGTCGAATTGGTACAGCGGAAGTACCAAGCTCACACGTATCTACTAAAAATACGTATTGAAATTGAAGCAATTTGATATTGCACAATAACGCGCTCTTGTTCTCTTCATGTTTTTCACCCTCTGATTCACGCGTTATATGAAAAGCAAATATATTTCTTCAAAGCGCGACAAGGCCTTATCCAACGGCCCAACGATTACAGCAAGGCTAGCACAAAAGGCCCAACGCTTGAAGTAGTTGGTTATTGTATCCTTCAGAAATCAAGTAAGCGAATACAACGGTGAGACTTCATCTTTTTTGGTTTTTATTTGTTTTGAATGTTTTGTACTCAATTTTCAATTTAATTTCATTTAAATTTTTTTCATTGAACTGTTGCTTTGTTTAAATCTGTGGAAATACCTAGGATTTGCAGATATTAAATTTAGCAATTAAAATAATAAAACGTTTCAAGCTGGTACATCGAAAGTATCAGATTTTAATTATTGTTTGTGAATATCTTAAATTTTCCCATTTTTCGTACTGGTACAACGAGTATCAGCTTTGGCGGACTGACGGATACGTTCCGATAAATAAGCATTGAAGGCGTTGTGGATGCAAGTGAAGGAGTCATTTGACGTTTATTCGCGGAATTATCGACTGACAAAGCAGGTAGAATACCCATGAACTCAGTAAAGCTCAGGTATCAGGATTGCAATTAATCATACCGGACATGTGCAGCACTGATGGGCAAAACAATGCACAACCTGACTTTTGTTCAACAAAGCTCATCAACGGTTAACCATGCAACGCGGGAACCTGAACTGGTCCCACGCTTAAGTATGAATCTCCCTCCGTGTGACACTGAAATTTGTTTTGGTGATTACATGGCATGGCCAACGCTCCACGACTTATTCACAGCCATCTGCATTAATCATTTTTGACTGATTGCAGTTGAGGAACAATACCATCTAAACCAAAAGACACGTGGGGAAGCAAAGGACATCGTGATGAAATCCCGATTGACCAATAATGGTATAATACCCGTGTCAGAACTTCTCGGAGCGTAATGAAAACAAAAGGGTTATGGTAAGCAGTCATTTGGAAACGTTCTTCATTTTACCAACTGTGACTGTCGAACGCGGCGCAGAAATAAAGAGTTTACAACGTGCATTAGC